CGATTTGCTCAACATTTTCTCAAAATTTCTTTTCGGTTGTTTTAAGAAACGTGATGAATGCCTTGAAACTAGGTTACATTCGAAGTAGTTAACTTTCTTAAAATTTGATATTTATATATGATAATTATTATTTCATAATTCAGATCTTTGATATTGCAAATAAATAGTCAGAGATCCTACAACATTTGTTATTTTGTAAAGTAAAGTAAAATATATATAAAACTTATTAATATTGTTAATCACATTTTATGTAATATATTATTGAAAACTTTAGCAATACCTTGTAAATAGGTCATGCGAATAAAGTAATAAAATAGCAAATAGCATTCAATTTGTCTCTTTCACTTGGTGTTTTTCCCACTAACTGGAAATTTGCAAACATTGCACCTGTTTTTAAGACTGACGATCCAACACTTCCTTCTAACTATAGACCAATCTCCTTGCTATGTTCAATTTCTAAAGTTTTGGATAGATGTGTAAACATGCACTGCTATCCCTATCTCACATCCAATATTTATGACCTCCAACACAGATTTTTAAAAGGGAAATCAACAGTCTCTCAACTGCCACAAGTATATCACAATATTCTAACCAACCACGTGTGTGGAAAAGAAACAGATGTGCTTTACCTCGACTTACCTAAGGCATTCGGTAGAGTATCCCATCGCCTCCTAATTCCTAAAGATAGAAAATTTAGGTATGTCTGGGCCGCTGTTACAAAAGCTATCTAACAGGTAGATATCAACAAGTTGTGCTTGAGGGTGGTGCTTCGGATTGGTTGCCCGTAACATCCGGTGTTCCTCAGGGATCCATCCTTGGGCCTATCATGTTCCTTATATACATTGATGACCTCCTGTACTACACTCAAAACAGCTCTAAAATTGCTTTATATGCAGACGACTCAAAACTATATAGAACCATTGATTCCACAGATTCTAGTAGGCTTCTTCAAGAAGGCCTTGGGCAATTACATCAAAGGACTGTTGATTGGGGTATTCCTTTCAACATGTCCAAATGCAAAGCATCACACATCTCAAGGAAAAAGCCTAGTACTATCATTGATAGACAATATAATCTAGATGACCAGCCACTAGTAAGTGTATTGTCATACTCGGATCTGGGAATCTTGGTTTCTAACACACTTATGTGGGGGAATTACCACATTGAAGAAATGGTATCCAGAGCAAATAAAACCCTAGGCTTAATTAAACGGATTTGTAAAGACCTTACTGATCCTTCCACTAGAAAAGTTCTTTATTGTTTGCTTCTTAGATCCAAGCTAAGAAATATACACCAAGAAACAGTGAAAATTGATTGAGAACATGCAATGCCGAGCCACTAAGTTAGGTCCTGTTTACATGAGACCGGAACAAAGGCAAACCAGGACCATTTCATTTCGGTCATAGTACCTAGAATAGATGTTTACATGAGACTGGGACGAAAATAACTCAGACCAGTCTCAAGTCATTCCTCGCCTGCTGGACTGAACCGACTGACTTTAGACCAGCATGAATTCAGACCAGTGTCACAGGAAATTTGCCCCCCCCCCCAAAAAAAAATTTTGAAATTTGGCCCCCCTTAAAAAAATATAGTTTGTTTTATCTTTAGGCTCGGAAAGTGTGAGGCTTTTCCTAAAACAAATTTCTAGAAATTTTTCTCAACATTTATAGTCATTTAGCATAATTTTTTTGTGTCAAAATTCTCCATTGAATTGCAATACTGACAAGAATTAGGCCAAGACTCAAGAGCTAAAGTTTAGTGTACTTTTCACATTTGATTTTGACCAGCTTTGTAGAAGACAACGTTAATAAGGCATGTGAACAACATAATAAAAACGTTATATAATATCCACCTAAACACAAACAAACACCTTTAGGATCTTGGTTTTATATTAGAAGAAGCTTCATGATTTCCAAGCTTATAGCGATAAAGTAAACTATGTTTTCGAGGGGGCCAAATATCCGAAGGGGGAGGCCATATTTCCTAGGAAATATGGCCCTGAGGGGGGCCAAATATCCTAGGAAATTTGGCCGGGGGGGGGGGAATTTGGGGGGGCAAATTTCCTGGGACACTGGTATGAATGTAAACACATATATTTCAGACCGGTCTCGGCTGTAACCTTGACATTGGAACAACACATGCTAACAAAAGCCATATAAAAAAGAAAATCGACTGGCAAGGGGAAGAAATTGGAATCAGTCTCATGTAAACATGTTGACAATTTCAATTTTCATTCCAGTTTGACTTCGTCCCGGTCTCATGCAAACAGGGCCTTAATTTTAAATTATCCTGATCACATGTCCTACACAAGATAGACATTCTCCCACTTGAATTTTAGTGAGAAATATGTGGTCTAACATTCTTATTTAAATGTATAAATGGTCTTGTTCTTATAGATGCTTCCTAGTATTACAATACTCGTATTCCTTGTTACAATACTCAAAATTCCGATACAAACAATTTATTCCCAATAGACAAGTATCAGCAGGACTATTTTCATAATTCCTATTTCCCAAGACCCTACAGATTATGGAACAATCTCTCTCCCAAGATAAAGTTGTGTGGAACATTATACAACTTTAAGTTGGAACTGTTTACTTTATCCAAGACAATGTTACCAACTTATTGAACTAAATTATGTTTTATAGGCTGGTGATAATGCTAAAGAAGTGGCTAAATTGACAAAGCCCTATATGTCCCAATTTATCTGTTATTGGTGACAATAAAAATAGATAAACAAAAAAATTTTAATAACATATTTTTGTTGTATTGTCAAAGCAAAATAGCTTTACCTGGTCAACAGAAGATTTTATGTTTGAGATTTTATATAGTTTGTAGTTTATATTGACATTTTAAATGACATTTTATGAAAAAAGTTTAAATTTGAAGGTAATTATTTTAATTACATTCCTAATAAATCTGTATTTTATAAGTTGAATATGTAGTCAAATAGATTATAGTAAAAAATCCAGGGGCACCGGAAGCAATGTGAAGCAGCGAGGGCAACCAATTCAAAAGGGCACTTGCTTATCAGCCGGCTGGTTAATTTTGCAGGTTCGCAATTCCCTACATCCAGATGATGAGATCAGTGACTGATCTCCACTTCCGGTATTCATCACAAACAATAACTTTATTCTAGCCTGAAAACAGACCCACGTTTATTCAAACAAAAATACCAATTCTGGTATATATAGAAGGCCATAGAATACAGCAAATGTCTATTATAAGCTATACTAGAAAATACATGCATGCAGAAACCCTCGCCTTGCTGACAAAACTATTATGTTTTGCAAACATGAAGTATTGTCATGGTAACACGATAATTTTAAGAATATAGTTTAAAATTGAAAACCCCCCCAAAATGATCAATTTCCCAAACATATATATGCTAGGTATGTTATTATACGTAATATGAGCTTCAATTTAATGTAAAAATCAACCACAAATGCTTCGCAAAACGTTTCAAAATGTTCTTAAAACTAAACTGCCTTTTATCGGTATTGAACATTGAGTTTCAAAATCGAAATAAATTGATTTCAAATTCTTGCATGAAAATAACTCGCCATCATGCCACAGAGCATGCTGAAAACCGGAAGTGGATATCAGTCACTGATCTTATTCCTCCTGGATGTAGGGAATTGCAAACCTGCAACCTGCAAAATTAACCAGCCGCTTATCAGCCATCATTTTTCTGAGCGGCAATATTTGTTAAAACTTTACTGTACTCGATTACTTGTGGCTATTATCATGGGTCGGCAAACTTCAACATTAATTTGAACAATTTTATTTGTTGCACCATGCTAAACAGGGTTCGAAATAACGTTCTGAAAACATGTCAAATTTTTCAGGCTGTTTTTTTAGGTGAAATTTTTGCCAGCTGTTTTCCAAGCAAAGTTTAGTTATGTGCTGGAGTGGGCATAGGCCAAATAATAGTGATGTAAACCAACACAACATTTGTAATAACACAGCAATACATTTTATTTGGGGTAGGAACAAACATTAACAAGTTCTATGTGAATCAGTTAAAAACAAGAAGAAAATATTGTTTTTATAGCGTAATAGAACCGAACTTAAAGTTTTTGTAGGGAAGTTAATTCAATTTCTCGTAAACGACTAAAAATCTGTCACCGTTTACAAAATCTGGTGCTCAGTTCATATTGGATTCTTCTCACTTGACCCACTATAGAACACTAGAGTACTATAGTTTAGTTGGAATCACCAGTCACGGTAACTCAGAGTCACTGCTTCTCATTCCACCCAGGAGCGGGCCTTCACGACCACTGTCTTCGGGACTGTCCAACAACTCCCACTGAGCAGAAGTAACTAGTGGGATTTATTGACTGGTTCTGGGGCAACTTCCTCTATAAATCAGCTTCCAACTCCTCTTCATTTTCTTCACTCTCCGATTTCTGTTTGCACACAGCTCCAACGTCTTCCAACCAATCTCTAAGGAATTCTTCCCTCTTGTCCTTTTTCATGCATTTCCCCTTACAGCATATTGCTTTCGATTCTCTTGGGTCTTCCTCCACTATTCCAGAAGTCCACAGCAAGCTCACAAAAAAGCCCACAGCAGGCTCACGGAAAAGGTGCAGGGCTGGTTGGACATGTCACTTTATTGCGCATTGAATCAGTCAAGTTGTGTTCGTTCGACCTGTTGCGTCAGCCAGATTTGACTACACGCAAGTACAAGATGAATGACTCGCACACCACATATGCATTGCCGTATGGGCAGCAGAGACACAGCTTGACCAGTGCCCACAGTTCCTCTGCTTCCTCCAGCTTTATCTTCCAGAGCATTGGCCACAGATCCATGGAGTCAATAGCAGCTTTGTTATAGTATGTGGTTGCCGACCTCGCTATGCTCTGAAATTAAAAATCGCCGGCAAGGTCCTAAAACTGCCGGCGAGAGCCGGCAGTCAGCCGCTATTTTAAACCCTGCTGAAGGTGCAAAATAAAATCAGTAAATGGATGTATCTTACTTGATTTAGCATTAATTTTACTGTAACTGGTTAACAATTAAGTAAAAATTGCTTGAACTTTGCTTAAAAATAGTTATAAATTCCAATTCCTATGAATAATGCACAAATTTCGAAGTGTGTTTCTGGTAAAAAGGGCAACCTGTTGCCCCTGTGCTGCCCCTGTGCTGCTTCTGTGCTGCCCCTGTGTTGCCCCTGCACTGTTCGGGCAATGGGGCAGTTGCCCCCACTGCTCCGGTGCCCCTGAAAAAATCCTAGCTTCTTTGGCTTTGGACTTTGCTATAAAAGAGACTTCTAAAGCAATAAAATAATGCACACTAAAGTGAGTAAAATATAAGTTAGTAACATGAACTCAACAACATATTGATACAGTAGACACTGCCTATTAATAGAAGCAGCATAATAGTTGATACTAAAGTGACAAAAAAGTTTATATTTCTACTTCCAAAGCTAAAATATTTTCCATTGGCACTTCAGGTAAAGTGAAGGTACAAGGTGTGTACGATTCCATGCAAATAAACTGAAAACAAACTATTAAACAGCAAGCTCTTAATCATAATACTATTTACCCCCGAGCCAATGGAGCAGAGTGCTGTTCCAGGCATAAGCCCAAGGCGAGGGTACTAATTCTCCCGGGCTATTTACACCTTGGGAAATAAAAGCATTAGCAAAGTCTAAACTTCATCGATGATTGCGAGTGTGGGCGACCAACGGAACCGAGGGTGTGGGTGGTCATCCTCACTGATCTCAAACAAATTGATCAAGACATCGAATTGATCGAGACATAATGGTAAAGTAACAAGTTCACAAAAACTATTATTAGATGAAGTAAATGCAAAGAACCGAATATTTCCACAATTCCCCAAATGTTCCCAAAAGAACACCTACAATCCACAAAAATCCTTATTGTACCTAAACACACACGTGCACATCTCACCTACTGCGCATGACCAAACACGCAATTTATACAGCTGCATGACAATGACATGGCACTGTTTACTGCTGTAACGAAAGACGACCTACATTCACTCACAGTTTATAGAGCTTTAATTGCAATCTTCAAAAACCAATAGTATTATCATGGCCCAACGTGTTGGATTGACCAAACTCAACAACGATTTTGGTAAGACAATTTACATTTTACGTTATACAATAGTTGTATACACATATTGCTAATTTTTATGTCATTTTTCCTTATTCCAAATCAAATCGGCTTCTATATTCTGTCTTTCTCACACAATTGCCAACCGCAATCCCTGCTGACGAGTCCATGAAGGACGAAACGCCGCATACAGGGATACTGAATTTTACAC